GATTACAGCCGTTACTGGGGAAACCGCTATATCTCCCACTCCAACAGCGCCTCCTGCTGGCAGAGGATCAATTTGCATTTGCAAGTCTGTGGGAATCACTGGTGTCTGTCAGCAAACATAAACAAAAAGCATGCTTCAGAACTGTTTTGAGAAGGTGCTTAAGTTTTGAGCCATGTATTATTACTATGAATTAAGCTACTACTACTATTACTATCTTGTATCCTGATGAAGGGGAAAAAAGAAAAAGAAAATCGGCCAAACATATCAGCATCATATATCGGCCATCGGCTGCCCTGCCCTGATTTCTAAATATCGGCATCGGCCAGAGAAAAACCCATATCGTTCGACCTCTACACTCAAGCCACACTTAGGCCTAATGCATGAATCTCACTGCATTAGATAAAGTTTTAAACCAAGCATAATTTATTTACATGAAATATAGTACAAGCATGCTTTATGTCAGTAGTTCTCAACCAAGGGCCCTGGACTCAACAAAGGCCCTCAGTAAACTTCCAAGCGTGATTTAAAAGTACTCAATTACTTAATTTAATATTATTGAAACAATTAATTATAATATATATACATATATATATATATATATAAATAAAATAATCTAACTTACGTTAAATGCTAAAACATATACATAAAATAAAAAAAGCATTTCCCCCCTTGATAATTATTGTTTCTGTTTGTCTCTCAGTTTGTTTATTAAAATAATGAACTTAAAACAATCCGCTTTGTCATAATTATAGTATAAATACTGGTGGAAATATCTGACCTTATATGTAGGGGGGACCACAGAAATCTTTTTTTTTTTTTTATATCTGTCAACAATCAGTTATCAGTCAAAACACTAGCAGCTATACACCTGTAAAAAAATTGACAACGTACATTCATTAAAATTAACCAAAACACCCGCTATCAAATATATTCTCTTTAAAAATTTAATTTACCCATTTAAATTTTAAAAATGTGACTTCAAAATGTTCAAAAGAATTTAAATGTTTTGTTCACGAGAACACATTTCTTAACACTTCTCCTAGATTTGAAGTATTTCTTGCTGAGTTTTCCCATACTGTAAAATCTCCTAACTCATAAATAATAACAATTTTCTTAAGGACTATGATCTTACCTTTCTTGCTGATTGTGGTGTACTTTGTTTATCTGTTTGTCATTTTACATAAAAATACTAATTTAAAAAGAAAGATGATTTCGAGCCAATGAGCAGAAATGGCTGAGAAAAGTGAAATCATTTCCACGAAAGAAAAAAAATTTGGCTTTGCATAATGATATTTTGCTATCTAATGCAACGGCATTCAGGCATTAATGGTGAAGTAACACTTTACAATAAGGTTTCAACATCAGTTAACTTGAACTAACAACAATGAAAAAAATGGTAATACATTTGCTACTTTCAGTTAATTTCAGCATTTCCTAACATATTACTAAAATAGACAGTTTTATCTGTTATGGATTAACAATGAACAGCTGTATTTTTATGAACGTTAACAAAGATTAATAAACAGTTACAAATGTATTCCTCATTGATAGTGAATACTAATGGGACTTTATTGTAAAGTGTTACCAAGTTACCAACTGGGGCTTTTAGCGTCTAAATACTTCTGGGTGGGGATCACTGAATGTAAGCCTATTGTAGACAGAAAATCCTAATAAATCAAGACAGCTCGAGGTGCATTTTTCATCTGCATGTCAAACAAGCAGGTGACTTAAGAGCCAAACTGACCTGTTCTGCCTGCCAAGAGAGCTACAACACCTGACTTACCTTTCCCGTCTTGTGGTCGAACCACACCAGAGCGTGATTCCTGGACAACACCTTGCAGTCGAAGGTGGCGTTATTCTGGGCAGGGCGACACCGGGCCACGGAGCGCCCGATCTTGACCGGCTCATCCAGATAGACATGACGTTCCTGAAACGGGTGTGAATTCGGGCGACAGGTGAACACGGCCAGCGCTGAAGGCATTGAGGATGGCTTGGGAGTGCTACTCCAACCAGAGACGAAAGACAAGGTTTCTTGATCCAGACTGGCCCGTTGCTCCAATTCTCCAATCTTTTTAATGAATTAGCAGGAGAACGCACATAGCAATACGAAAAACTCTTAAGAAAAGACAAGGCTCTCCTGCTGACCGACTACATAATAACGTCAAAATTACTAGTTAGACACTATGTAGACGATTTCATGCCCCCTTGCGAGACCCCCATGATGCCAAACCAGCTGCCCAATTCCATACAAATCTGTTTTTTAGATGACAGTCCACAACTTGAGCTGTTACACCTCGTTCCCTACACAATTCATCATCATCCCCCTTCACAACCATAGGCCTGACCAAAAAAACAAGTCAGTAACGCTAATATACTAGTAACCTGTTAGACCAGCTAATCTATACTCCCCCCAGAAATAAGACTGTCCGCCGTTTGACATGCGTTTCTAGATTAACTGGCAATGATTTCTATATTAACGGGCACAAAACACACTAACGCAAATGTTAAACCCTAATGAAGATTAATAACGTTGAGTGGGTTTGGCTCAAGTATGCAGGACAGATCACCAAACCACCACTCCCCAAGACTGATCAGCCTTTCACTATGAAAACAAAAGCTTAAAGACCTAATCAACCCGACATTTGCAAGCTTTTAACTGTCAAAATTCATGTAAGCTTTATAAACCGCTCCCGCGGAGGGTGCTTTCTTGCGTACCAGAGCGTTAGCTGGCTAACTTCATAATAGCGCGTTAGCTTCGCTGAGGTAACGGTGGCCTTTATCTTCTTCTTATCAAGCCCTCCGGACTGAAAGAGACTTTAGAAATAATTCCGAGTGAATTTATCCAGGAAGAAGAAGTTATTTTTTCGTCTGTGCAACTTTTGTGCGCGGAGAATTTGCGCAAATCCAGTATTAGCTCGGGAGCTCGATAACGTTACCTAGCTTAGCTCGTTGATGGACGCGATAAATTCCCCAGAAAAGAAACTCGCAAACGAATAAAGTCCGTGACACGGTCCCGCGGTAAGCCGTGGAGGTCTCCGCTCCCGAGGACACTGAAAACGCGAGGAAAAATCGTTGTGTGCGAGCGGATAATTGGAAGTAAGTCGTCCTCCTGAAGAAATACACACACCGGCCACAAACCGCCGCGGGGCTCGCGCACCGCCGAGAAAGGGGCGGGGACTCCGCCGTGACGCGCTAACGGAGGCGGGGCTACGGTGTGGACGAATTGCGTTTCCAGAGAAAAGGGTGACGTTTTTCATATGGAATGAAAATAGATGGTATGGACAAAGATATACATATCTATGGGTATGGAGGCCCAAACATCCAGATTTTTTAATAAGTAAGTCAATAAATGAATATACAAATAAATACATATAAAAATAAATAATCGAAAAAATGACTTCGTAAAACAAACACATTAATTTTTATTTAAATTCAGTCCTGCATTAATTTTTGTGTTACTTTTTCACTTTATTTATTAATGTATTTATTTAAAAAAATATTTATTTTAAGGTGTCCTTGTTACAGTGTAATTATACATATAAGTACTGAGTAATATTAATTAACTACATGTACTGACTATATGATTTGGGTTAGGATTAGGATTTGGTTTTGGTTTAGGGTTACTTGCACGTAATTATGCATAATTTATTGTTATTATAATACTTAGTGCATGTAACGTGTAACAAGTTAACTTAAAATAAAGTGTTACAAAAAAATATTTTTAAATGTTATTACATTTAAATTAATTTGTTGTGTTTTTACTTTTCATTAATTTATTTATTTCCATGTTTGTTTGTTTGTTTAAACTTTTTTATTTATTGTTACATTTCTATCTCCATATTATATCTTATTATAATGATCACAGCCTTTATGAACATAAGGTAAATTCTAGACCATATTCATGAGGTGCTTGCTGGAATGCCTTTTAAAAACAGCACTGAAGGAGTTCCTTTACTATCTGGTCCAATTTATTCATTTAAAAAATCCAGTTAGTACCTAAAGATGCCAAACTGGAAGAGTATACTTAATATTCATTGACCAAACAGCTCACTTAGCAAACACAGACAACGCAAAACAAATGCATATTGGCAAAATCAAAGCCTTTGGAAGGTGCTTCTAGGCTCCCGGTAAAAGTACAAGTTATTTGTGGAGTTAAAAATCATCCCTGGAAAGTATTTTTGTTTCAGAAATGAGGAGAGGGTTTCAAAGCTAACTCCACCCCCTGTCCCTCTGTTTGGACTTGGAATCTGTGGACTAAATTACACTGAACATCTGTCATACCAAATGGAGCATGCTGATTTGACTGTAATGTCTTGCTCAGGCTAATCCAATTGCTTTGTCTTGGTTCTTAATGTGACCCATAAGAAGTAATTAAGTGATCACTGTTGGAACATCTATATGCAAACAATGGTGCGGTTCAGTGATGCCTGTGACTATATATGACGTTACAGTACCAGGCCACCATATGAACTCCATTCTGCTCTGTTCATTTGATTTAAAATAGACAACAGATTCTAACATGTTATTATTTTCAACAAGTGTGCCACAGAAATGTACAACTACAATAGTCTTAAGCTGAAACCAAACCACATTTGACCTAAAAATGATATTATCGGATTAAATAAATGACATTAAACATAATCATGCAAAGATGGAATTCGGAAAGGATTATAAGGTTTTTCTCAGTTTCATACATTCTGTACTATAATTAGCTATAATCAGAATTTATGTTTATTCGCCAAATTACACTAAGCAATTAGCCTTGGGGGTTGCTCAAAAAAAAAAAAAAAAAAAAAAAATATATATATATATACATATATAAATATATAAAATATGTAGTCCTTTTGTCAGTTAGATCTATTAATTATTATTATTTACAACATTATTAACAACAGAAAAAAGTAACACATTTTGGTGCCATTAAAAAGTTACATATTTTCTGTTTTTTTTTTAGTTTGTTCCTTAAGGCTTGTAAGAAATGTAAGTAATTTAAATGTAAGAAATGTAGTTTGCAAAGAGCATACTTTTTTCATGTATATGGTATTTTTGTAATAATATAAATAACTGCATAGTGTAGCCTATTGTTCTTTACATTACAAAAATGTCATTCTGAAAATTAAAAAAAGCACATCAAATACACAAATTTTTACCATTCGAACTCATCAACCTAGTAAATAAATACAAGAGACACCGTGGCTGCGTGCGCGCTCCCGTAAAAATCTTGACCTCACTTATGACGTTAGCACGCTGTTGACGCAAGCTCCGCCCCTTTCGCCCTGGACGTGTTTGTATTTACAGCTCAAGTTCCTCCAGCTTTCACCAATAAACCGAGTCCGATCACTCCTGGACCGAACGGAGGGTGTCACCATGGCCTTTCAGGGGTCTGAGGGACTGGAAGAACAGATCGAGGAGCCGGAAGATACTCCGAGAGTTTCTCCGGCGGAGGAGATGCCCGTCGATGGGCCTCCAGCGGTAGAGGAACCGCTACTGCTGCCGTGGGACCGCTTCTCCTCCTGGCTCCACTGCATCTGTGTGGTCGGCTTCGATCTGGAGCTCGGGCAAGCTGTGGAGGGACAGCACACTGTCATATTAGTACTATTTAAATCATAGTGTCTGTTTAGTTGTCATCTGTGAGTTGGCCTGGTAGCCGGCTAACTGTGTGGAAGTCAATGGAAAACCTGCTAGCATCAGTGGCTAACAAAAATAGTTGAGTCATCAAAAATAATATATATTATTAGAAATATTTTCATATATATATATATATATATATATATATATATATATACACACACACACGTAGCCGGCTAGCCGTCGCATAGATGGGAACTTAGTTATTTTATTGTATAATTTTTTTAAACGATTTTGCTACTTTTTATTTTATTGCAATTTACTGTAATTGCAGTTTTATGGTACAGCAGGACATTAGAGCAGTGCAAGCAGTTCAGTGGTGCATGTCACTGTGTCTGATCTTTTATGTTGTGATCAATATGTCTGAAAGCTTTCAGTAGCTATGAAATATTTGTGCATACAAAAATATTTTCATCCATGTGTTTGATTGTGGAATGCAATAAAAAAAAAAAAAACTAAACTTTTTCACATTTTTTTCTGCTGCAGGTGATTTACCCACACCACTCCAAACTCACTGAAAAAGAGGTAACTGTTGTTTTACATTATCCTGCTAGTTTCAACCATGGATTTAGATGGTCAGTTTTAAAATATTTAGTGGTTTCTTTGTTTTTCTAATTTCAGAAAACAAGTATATGCTATCTGTCATTCCCGGACTCCAATTCAGGTAAACTGCATTTCCTCACTACAATTTTTTTTAAGGTTTCATGGTTCTTCCTGTATCTGTTGTAAATAATAAACAGTTGATGCACAGATGTTTGTCAGCTGTAGATTTAAACCTGCATAGCCTAAACTTTTAGCATTTTTGACTCCTAAAAGTTTAGTCTTAGATCACACAGTTACGGTAAGCTGAAAGCTAATGGAGAGTAAGTTTATTCAGTGATCATGTCAGAAGCATTTTTCAGAGTGATCATTAATGTATTTTTGAAGCCTGACATAAATTTTAATCACTTTTTATATTGTATGTGAGTATTATTAGTGCTCAAAGTGTCTGTGTTGTGATTAAGCAGTGCAGTCGTAGTGTATTTTCCTGCGGTTAAGGTTTGATTTAGAGCACTGTAATTCATCTGAGTGAGTACTATGACCTGTGTGTCTTACGCTAATGTGTGTGGGATGAGAGGTTGACATCTCCCTCCAGCAACACCACATGCATATTCAGAAAGAAACTCGCAGCGTGGGTTGTGGAGTCTCTGACTCTTCTGTATTAGAGATATTAATGGACCGTCACTGACTGAGTAGGTCAATATCTGTGATTGCACACTTGTAGTTGCTTCGTAACAGTGTGTGTTCTGATGTAAATGTATCATGTGAGTTTGTTTCTTCTTGGGAACATATTTTGAGAAATGTAGCATTGCATCTCTTGCTCACCAATGGATGCTCTGCAGTGAATGGGTGCCATCAGAATGAGAGTCCAAACATCTGATAAAAACATCACAATAATCCACAAGTAATCCACACCACTCCAGTCCATCAGTTAATGTCTTGTGAAGCAAAAAGCTGTGTGTTTGTAAGAAACAAATCAATCATTAAGGCGTTTTTAACTTGAAACCGTTGCTTCTGTCTAAAATACCTCATAATGCAAAATAACGCTTCCTTCAGTGAAAACGTTGTCTGGTCTGAATCAGGAGAGAAATCTGCACAGATCAAGCACCGTTTACAAGCCAAAACAGCTCTAAACAATTGTAAACAAATATGTGGCTGGATTTTGATGTGAGACGACAACAGGAGATGTACTTTCTCACTGGAGGAAGTATTATTATTATTTTTATTTTTTATGTAGAAATTTGTTTTAATGTTTTGCATTTGATGTTAACAGCTTTGCTTATCTCGAACAAGTCTTCAGCATTCATCAATACTGTAAATAGAGCAGTAGGTGTTGTTTTCCACAGTATCAGCTGTGATAAAAATGGCATCTCTGATCTTCACAGATTCAGCTCTGTGTGTTACTTTAGTTTGTAATAATAAACTTGGGTTATTAATAGCAATGCAGTACAAACGAGGAGGAACAGGATTTGAAGATTACAGGACAGTCCTGTTAATGACGTTGTAAATACGCAGACGCTCTTCTTCTGCATGAGAGTTCACTCGCCGCTAGTGAATCTCCTGGTGTGATATTGATCCTGTTCTCGTCTTTCTGAAACTGGAGAAGCTGATGTATGAGCAGACATCCTATCCCATCATTCTACTCACTTCAGCTCTCCTACAATACAATATACTATCCTACAGGATGTAGCATGTCTTGTTGAAAGCGCAAATGTGTATCATATTTTACAAACTATTAAAGCAATCTTACCATATACATATATGTATTAGTGCTGGGCAGTATGACCAAAAATTTATATCGGTATTTTTCAAAATGATACCGGTTTCACGGTACATGACGGTATTTTTTTTTTCAATGTATGTATAAATTGGAATGTGTCCTTTTTAATATAATTTTTTTCTGTGCAAAAAATAATGACTGATTTACAAAGAAAACATCATTCAGTGTAACAGTAGTTCATGTACCTAAAAAATGTCC